CAGGAAGTTGATCGACTTCTTAAATGATGCAAGCGTACCATATGGTTGAAACTATAAAACAAAAATAATAGATTGTATGCATTTATCAGGTAGATGTGAGTATGGATTTTGTGCATATATCAACAAAAAATTGCTCATTTGAACTCGCGTCATAAAACTCATTAAACTTCTTAAATTGATTTTTTTTATTTTCAAGAAATCATTCGTTAGCATGGGTTCCCAAAACCTATTACATCCAATCGTGATATGCATTTCCAAAATTATTTCTAGAACTCTATGACTCTAAAATTCAGTCTAGCTCCAATTTCAGAGATTTTTTCAACCCATAACAAGGGTTATTTCAACATACTTGATTTTTAGTTCAAATTTCAATAAAATTCTACATATTGATTCATGTTGATAATCTACACCAATACTTCTGAAGTCGGTAGAGTGGTAGAAGTTTAAGAAATATTCACGGTGGCTACGGTCTTGGAGTGATTAATGAAAAAGATAGAATCATTTTAGATTTTGCTTTATAATATGATTTTATTATTACTAATACTTTATTCCAGAAAAGAAATGAGAATATTATTACTTATAAGAATGAATCTAATAAAACACAAATTGATTATTTTCTTATGTAAGCTCATTCTAAGTGAGGAGTTAAATATCCAACATCGATTATTGGTTCTAGATTTTTTAAAATGAAGAATTTTAAAATAAAGAATACTATGACTCATCATCGTAGAATTAGAAGGGGAATCTAAAAGACAAATAAAATTATTTTTATGAATAAAATTCAAGATTTTAAATTTTGGGATATTCGTGAAGAAGAAAATGTTATATGGGATAAAGTAACAAACACTATTAAACAACTAACAAAAGATAAACTTGAAGAATCAAAAGAAAAAAATTTTATAAATAAAAATAGCCGGTGGTGGAATCATAATGCGCAAGAAAAGATAAATAATTATGTTATAAAAATTGATTTAATGGTAAAAATTTGGAGAACTGGAAAAAATATCAAACATTCCGCAAATAGTATAAAAGAACAATTTGTGACGCTAAAAATTTTGCTTTTAGTGATCTTTATAATAGAGTACTTTGGTCCCCATTTTTAGGAATAAAGGAGATGCATGCAAATTATAGAGGAATTAAGTTGATGTGTCCTACTCTAAAATTATGGGAGAGGGTAATTGAAAATAGGTTAAGACGCATTGCAAAGATTTATCATAATCAATTTGGGTTTATGCCGGACAAGTATACTATGGAAGCTATACATTTATTGAGAGGTTTGATGGAGAAATTCAGAGATAATAAGGAGGATCTACATTTGATTTTTAATGATTTAGAAAAAGATGATTTAGAAAAATTAGAAAAAGCTTACGATAAGGTTCCAAGAGAAATCCTTTGGAAAGTTCTTGAGAAAAAAGGTGATAATATGACTCATTTAAATCATTAAAGATATGTTTAATAGAGTTGTTATTTGTGTTCGAACTGAAGGAGTATTGACCAAATATTTCCTATCATATTTCCAATTCCTGTTGGATTACATCAAGGATCGGCTTTAAGTCCATCCTATTCATGTTGGATTACATCAGGGATCAACTTTAAGTCCATATCATTTTGCTTTCTTTATGGATGGTCTTATTGGACATTTACAAGAGGATATTTACAAGAGGATATACCTTGGTGTATGTTTTTTGCTAATGAAATCCTCTCGTGGATAAGACGAAAGAAAAAGCCCAGGAAAAACTTGAACTATAGAGGTCAACATGGTCTAAAGGCCTTCATTTGAGTAGAACTAAAATTGAATACATAGAATGTAATTTTAGTAGTAATAGCTCCAGTGACAAAAGTGTAACTTTGGATGATCAAATTATTAAAAGGTCTGAACAATTTAGATATCTTGGGTCTGTTGTTCAAAGCGATGGTGATATAGATGGAGATGTTAATGGTAGAATTCAAGTTGGTTGGTTGAAGTGGAGGAATGCTTAGACTGAAAGGAAAACTTTATAAGGTGGTGGTGAGACATACGATGCTCTATGCCACTAAATCTTGGCCTTTAAAAGAGACGCATAATACTAAGTTAAGTGTTGCCGAGATGAGAATGATTAGGTGGATGAGTGGCTTTACACATAGAGACAAAACGTGAAATGCGTGAAATGAATATATCTGTGATAATGAATATATCTGTGATAGGGTTGGTGTAGCTCCAGTAATGGATAAAATTAGCGAGAGACGTCTTAGATGGTTTGGCCACATTAAACGTCGACCATCGATGATCCAATTATGAGAGTAAATGTTTAAGATTCGACTTAAGTTAAGAAAGACAGAGGTAGACCCTGATCCAATTATGAGAGTAAATGTTTTAGATTCGACTTAAGTTAAGAAAGGCAGAGGTAGACCTAGTATAGTTTATTAAAACTAAATGAAAGTACAACACTAAATAGGAAGCAATGGAGAAAAAGGATTCTTGCAGCCAACCCCACGTAGTGGGATTAAGGCTTTGTTGTTAGTATAATGCAATTTTAAAATCCATTGCTTAAGAAGCATATAAAATTATACAATCATGACAAAAACACATGCCTCGCAATTGGAGAGAAAGTTTCAGCATTGTTGTATGTCTAATCTAGAGCTTATTCTTATGTAAACTCTTTTGTTGTATGTCTAACTTTAAATCTTGGCTATTATAACAATTCTTTCTTCTGGCACAACCTTATGTAGCTAATAATCTGTTGTATGTCTAACTTTAAATCTTGCCTATTATAACAATTCTATCTTTCTTCTGGCACAACCTTATGTAGCTAATAATCTTTTTGTTTGTTTGCATGTCTACCAATTCCCAAGTGCAATTCTTCATGAAGGAGATATCTTCTTTCATAGCTTATTTTCATTCAACCTTTTTTTTTTGGCACTCTCCATTAATTATTTATAGGAAGTAGAACCAGTTCATCACCAAATAGAAAACTAACAACAAACATATTAGAAATGATAGTTGCTTATGGTGCTTGAACCATACATTTATGGTTTGTCCTCACAAAAACATATGTTCTTTACATATCTCCAATGATTTGTTGTCTAGACTATTCAAAATCAGCCCTGGTTGATTCTTAATCATTTCTTTCAAAAATTCAAAGATGCTTTTGACTGCACCATCTGAAATGACAATTTATAGTTTGCACAATAGTCTTGCTTTCAGCCTGGTTCTAATTTCCAAACACCGCAAATTATACCTTATTCTATTCTCACGATATCCAGTAAAATTACATTTTAGAGCCCATGATTCTAAATTTGGTATACCCTAGTTTGAGAAGGTTAAGTAATTAGGTGTCTGGGCGGTCATGTTGAAGGAGGTAGAGCTGTTGCAACGTCCTCGGATTGGAGGGCTTCAACTTCCGACACTTTTCTTCTTGATGGCATGACTATGGTATATGTTTATAAGGTGAAAAAGGGTGTATTGGGTGGATTTAGGGTGCAAATAAACTATTTAAGATTCCTGATTTTGAAAATAAGGTAGGAGGAATTAGGGTTTAGTCAAAACTTGGCTATGGTTTAGTGGGCTTAAGTTTGGGAGGTAAACAGGGTGCATGGGGCAGATTTAGGGTGAAAAAAAATAAGGGTTCTAGATTTGAAAATCAGCAAGGGGGGATTAAGGCTAAGTTAAGATTTGGCTATGGTTTGGTAGAGGTTTGAGAAGATTTTGGTAACTCTCTGATGAAACTATGTTAGGCTAGCTCGGATATCAAATGATATAAGAAGACAGGGTAGAAGAAGATTAAGCAAAAATAACCAAGAAAGCAATCTGAGACAAGAAAAAGAATCAACAGAATAAAAATGAGATGCACTAATCAAAGAAAATATACAAAATACAAGAGTTTCATGCTCTCGCAACCGATCGGGATACATAAATCACCACCTGTAGATTTAATGAACAAAGGAGACGAGTTATGTCACCACCAACAACGAAAGAATACAGTTGTCACCACCCAACGACGAGGCTACACTCGTCCCCATCAAGAAACCACAAAGGGAGCACAGGTCCTTACAATACTCAATTGAAACAAAAAGAACCCTAAAAGATTCCCTAAAAAAACATGATCCTGTTGTAGCATTTAGTTACCCAGTTTGTTAAGGCTAACTACCATGAGATGGCTCTCCTTTTAACTATATACTATCCTTGACAAGATTCAAAATTTATTTGAATTTCAGTTGAATTTAGCAAAGCCATTACTTCCAACACAGCCAAAGAATCCTTTCCATGAAATGTAGCATCAACAAGACTTTCATATGTACATTATAATGAATTTAGAAGAATTATTGTTTGATCTTCACCTTTTATTCTAATACCTATGATTTTCAACTCGAGAACAATTACAAACATATACCTGCTTATTCAATAATTCAGAGACATCCTTTAGCAATGAATACAATCTATTATTGAGATATATATGATTGGCTAAAGAATTATTGAGGTACAATCTATACGTCTTCTCTGTCTATGATTGTTATTTCACCTGCTACTTCTTAAAGTACCACATCACCGAGACATTGTAGAACTGCATTGTGAGCGTTGTTCAGCACCTCCACATAATCTTTATTTTACTTTCAAGTTTACCTGCTAAAGTCATGTCAAAGCTTTGTTACACAAAAATGCCTTAGTACTTCAGCCTACAAAGGCTAAAATAATTGAATCAAATGAACTTCTTCTCTTAAGCTTGGTCATCCACAACTACTTGATTCTTTATCCTCCTTCCCCAAACTTCTTGATCAAGTTCGGATGCCACTTGTTGATCCCAAACAACTGCGCTATCTATTATCAAAGATTAACTACAAAAAATTCGCAAGACAACTCGCCTCCAACACTAATTCCTCAATTCTACACAGGCAGAAAACCTTCAGGCTATTCTATTGCTGCCTTCAATGCATTCACTAAGCCCATGTTTAAAATTGTGCAGTACAAGCGCCTCCCGCAGACAAAAATTTGTGTATGCCCTTCTTTTTCTTTTTATAAAATTTAAAAATAATATCAATTTACCTCACTATCAACCCCCAAGCCTCACAAACCAGATAACAAGAAATAAAAAGAGAGAATATCCATAAAAAATTAAGTAATTGATTTTCTAAAAATGAAGATGAGTGGGAGATTATAGTAATAAATGAGAATGAGGGGAAGGAGAGAGAAATTCATTATCTCGATAATTCTTCTGAAAACTCACTCTGTGAAAAGAATAATGTGGAATACTGAGTTTAAAAATTCTAATGTGGATAACTACTCATATTCATACTTAAGTGGGAATAATTTATACGAGAGAAATACTTATATTGAACTTATTTTGATTGTTATGCTATGATATTTTATTTTATTTTATTTTGTACATTCTAGCTTAATTTTGTATGAACTATTTTATTTTATGATTTGATGATAAAATGTTTGTGTTAATTATTAATTTGCATAAATTATTAATTTTTATTTTGTTAGAATATTGATATTACTTTTTAATGTGTTAATATGTCAGGATGTAAATATATTAATCCTTATTTCACACTTTAAATTTTATATAATGCTCATCGTTTTACGTAATTTATTGAATTTAAAGTTAAAGTCTCAAAAAGCCTTAAGGCTTATGTCTCGCCTAGCATCTCAATATACAATTGCGCGATTTAAAAGCTTGCACCAAGCCTTATTGTCCTTCTACTATAGACGTAATGTGCCTTGGTGCATATTTTGTCTACCTCTTCTTAGATAAGTATTTTTTCCTCTTAGTCTTCACAAAAATAACACAGATATAAAATTGCACGATTTAAAAGCTTGCACCAAGCCTCATTGTCCTTCTACTATAGACGTAATGTGCCTTGATGCATATTCTGTCTACCTCTTCTTAGATAAGCATTGTTTCCTCTTAGTCTTCACAAAAATAACACAGATATACATTGACTCCCTCTTCACAACATGATGTTCGCCTAGAGACGTACTCCCATGTTCCTCCACCAAGCACATAGTGCTTCGCCAGAACTGGCCCCAATAAGAAAAGGAAATAAAGGAAAAAGAGAAAAAATAGAGAATGGAGAAAAAAGATATGGGAAGAATGGAAATTCAACAAGGGATAATGGTGATTTTATGATGATGCCTCGATAATATTATGTAAATTAGAAATTCCACACTTAGCCCCACAAAAAATTGAAATTGACATTTCTCCATTTTAGTCACACACACACACTAAGGCAGGAGCTAGCAGGGCATGTAAAATGGCTGAACTCGCAGCTACAGGATCTTCATATTACAGAACGGCCTGCGTCGAACCAAAAACCTTCCTTTTCAGCTGTTTTCATTTGTTTTTCCTTTACAGTGTTTCCCGCCCTTTTTTTAATGTTTTGATTTAGCTTAATTCCTTATTCCTTATGAGGGAGCTCCTATATATTTGGTGTTTTGGTTGTTTGGGGTGAGTTTTATGTGTTTTTTTCCAGGTTAGCCATCAGCGTCTAAAGTTTTCTCTTCTAGAGCTGTATCCAAGGGTCGAGTGATGCTCTGGCTTTATATTGCTCCCGATGTGGTGATTTATCCTTTCCCGACCTTTCTGCCTCCCTCCCGCTTCTCTACCATTCCTCCCTCCTTGTTGCAGCTGCCTAGAAACAGCTTTTGTTGTTGTTTCAAAAGTAAGGTCCAAGATAGTTAACTTATTTATGGAAATAACAAATCTTTTAGGAGAGTAATGAATATATCCGTGAATAGGTTGGAATAGCTCCAGTGAAAAACAAGATTAGAGAAAGTCACTTTAGACGGTTTGATCATTTTAAACATCAACCATCCACTACCCTATTAGGAGAGTAGATGTTTTGGATTTGACTTGGCCATTTTGAAGAAAAAAATTATCTTATTTTATTAGAATTAAATGAAAATATGACACTCAATAGGTAGAGAAAAAGGATTCATGTAGCCGACCTCACCTAGTGAGATAAAGACTTGTTGTTGGTGTCATACATGCCACAACAATTCTATGCTTAAAATAATTAGCAAGTAATCAAAAAATTCTGTGAAATTACATGCAGCAGATTATATGAATATGCAAAGTGAGTTATAAATATATATATATATATATATATATTTAAATCATAATATGTAAAATTCAAGCACAGATTCATCTCACAAATACATATGATCATAGAGGGCATAGACGTTAGGAAAAACTATGATAAAAGACAGAAATAATCAAAAATTCAACAAACAATAAGCACTGCTCACAGAAGGCTAAGCGTGAATAAGCATTCAATACAATATAAAATAGATTGAACACACCTCCTCAATGACTGAAAGATATTTACTCCTTTCCTCTGACATTCGAAGGAGTCGAGACTGTAGTTCTCGAGCTTCAGTTGATAAGATTGACCGCTCACCATACACTTGGCCGGATTGCTGCCGACAATTAAATAGCATTAGCTTTCCCTTACACCACAGTGTCAAGCAGTTGGGAACAAGAAAAAAAAAGGGGGAGTACGTGTACAACCATATCATTTTCATCCTTAGATTTTTTCACAATCTGTTGGAGTTCCTCCACCTTACAAAGAGCATGATGACCAGCAACAGAAGCCTCCTCTTTAGCTAACTCAGCCTTCTCTTCAAAAAGCTCAACTTCACGCATCATGCTCACCATAGAATCAAAGGAAGACACCAGAGATTCCTGCACCATTAGTTTTTCAGAGAAAATATAGACAGAACAACTATCATGCATTCACTAATAATGATCACATCCGAAACTATACATGGATGGCAAATTACAAACTCCAAATAAGTGGAATTTCTATACCAGATGCATGACCACAGTGAACACACGGAATTACCTCGCATGGAGTAAGTAATTCAAATGATAATATAGGTGAGCGGTTACAATCAAAAGGAATTTCATTAAACAGCTAACGATGTAGTTTTTCTAACTGCATATGGCAGTCCGATATTTCCAAGGAAAACAGTTCCGTAAGCAAGTATGAGAACATTTCGTGTTTGCTGCCCCAATACAGTATCAAATAACAATTTTTTTATAGAGAAAATGATAACAAATAACGGCTACTTCCATAAAGGGATGTCAAAAGGAATTTCATTAAACAGCTAAAGATGTAGTTTTTCTAACTGCATATGGCAGTCCAATATTTCCAAGGAAAACAGCTCCGTAAGCAAGTATGAGAACATTCCGTGTTTGCTGCCCCAATACAGTATCAAATAACAAATTTTTTATAGAGAAAATGATAACAAATAACGGCTACTTCCATAAAGGGATGCATTTATGTACCCCTCATTTGGATTACAAAATTTTCCATGAAAATGTTCATAGTACATAATTCACACTAAGCACAAGCGCTTCCAAATTTAGGTCATCCTTAAGACTTGAGCAATTACCTATTTATTGGAAAAAACGGATCATGCGATTCCTTAATTTTCATGGAGAACCAAAAAGCATAGAATATCAAATTGCAGAGTATGTTGAACTTGTACTTAATATAGCACTTCCATTCAGCATTTTCCACACACAATGAAAGAAATGACTCTATGGAGAATAAAGGACCTACAGTTTCCATGATGAGAAATTTAGTGTCTGGGCCGCAAATGGAAACAGTGCTCAAGTTGCCTCTATGTATTTTGATGATCCCAAATCTGTTCAAGTGACGAAAACAGCTGCTCTACAAATGCAAAAAATGAGGCTGCAAGCACTAACCCCATCCCTAAACATGCATCAAGTAAATATAGGAATTGATGACATTAAAATCCTTCCATGCATAAAGAATTAACGTATTAACAGGAAGCAATTTGATATATGTAACAAGGCTTAAAGAAATTTTTTATTTATTTAATAAGTTCAAAAACTGTTTTATCTAAGTTGCCTATGCCAACTAAGACATGACATTGGGATCCTAATAAAGAACGTGTCAACTTCCAGACTACAGCTAAATCACCTCTTGAAGAAGATAAAAGCAGTTGCATGGAGTCCCGGCCAATACGGCAACAATCAAAATGAATGGGCAACTGGCTGAGAAGCACATACTAGCAAGCATAAAAAAGCTAAACCCTTCTTATTCCAAGAATTAGCGGAGTTTGTCAGCATAGATTGGTATGTTAAACACTGAGGAATCACTCGTTTGTTATCTATGGCATCCTCATCAAAGAAAGTTAGCTTACCATCCAAGATGTTGCAAGGAGCCCAAAAAAGTACCTACTATGCTCAAGATTTGTTCAAGGCATTATTTGTAAGTGAGATGACAATACACACAAATCACTGGCTACTATAATATTTGCAAACTCAATGTTGGCATTCATTTTTAATGCCATGCAAACTGGACATCTTTCCGAGTGATAAGAGATCACACCGCATTCTTACATAATATCCTATGAATCAAGGAATCCATAGAGCCTTCACTGGGCATATCTTACACCAGATTAAGGGGTTTGTCCCATTCTGATCCCGCTCGGAAGCGACTACCGTTGGTTGGTATCGGTCCCTCAATACAGGTCGAGCCCGACGACCATTCTGGTGTCTAAGGTACTTACCTCAGTAATTTAGAACTTCTCGTAGCTCAAACAAGCCATAAAATAACCTTGACGGGTGTCCGGAAGGTCAAAAGGGCCTAAGGGCCCAGCGTGACCATGCCTAGAACTGGAGTGACCACGCCTGCCAGACATAATTATGTCAGCTCTCGAGCGTGGCTAAGCCCAAATCGTAGTCTTGATGCTTTTTAACTAGCATGACTGAGCCCATCTTCGGGTGTGACCACACCAGTTCACCTGATTCGCGTTCCGATATGACCACTTCAATTCGACTAATCACCTTGGTCTGATTAATCGATCAATTATGTTTGATTTTCACCACGTTCCGATCAACCACCCACTTTGATCTAATCGACTGTCAAGGTTCGATAAACCACCCACATTGGTTTGATCGACCGCCAATGCGATAGGCCAATCACTTTGGTCGGGTCGGCCACTCCAGTCCGACCAACCCTCTTTGGCCATAGCACCTTATCAACCGTCTCGATCAACCTAAGGGTCAATGGACCAACCTCACTTGCATGTCATATTTGATGCATGTGTTTTCGCATTGCTTGCATGAAATTGTTAATTGCTTAAGCTCATATTTATATGTGCATAAAAAAATGAATTTTCGAATGGTATGTAATATGTTTATTACTATTGCATGAAAAAGAAATCAAATTCCCCTTAGGCATATGATTGCATGTGGGGTCTCCTTGAGCACCAACACTAGTGGTATTACCGCACATATGCCACCATATGTGTGCGGCTCAACACTTACAAATCTTTGATGAGTGATGACTAATAATGCTAGCCCGTCGGTGTATAAATTTCCTAAACGGAGAGCACGTCGCCTCATCTCTCATGTCATCACACTTGAATGTTATAAGCATTGCATGTTGTGTGCTCAATTCGGGTTACCCTTTAAAGTTCATGAACCCACTGAGTGCACAAGGTGTGCCCACTCGATCGTGTTATATAGCATGATTGCATGAGCATCAACTTTTGTGTCTTGATAGAAAATTAAACTCGTTGGGTGAGTGACTTTGCGTTGAATGCGATGTTTTAACGAGCATTGCCTTCCGGGTAAATTTCAGTGAACAATGTGAGATTGCATTAGGATCAACACAAATATGATTGTGTTAATTGCTAAAAACGCATGGCATGCGTTTGTTTATCTTATTTTTATTGTTTATCGTAAAACACCAGACCGCTTCTTTAATAAATGCAGCCGCGGGATTAACCCTGTGGCCCGTGAACTTACCTTCAAGGTTTACCTGCTTACCCTTCTTGCTAGATCCCGTTTAGGTAACGGCTCGCTCTCCTCTCTCACTCGAGTGCTCCTCGTTCGCCTTTCACCACCTCCCCATTCGGACCTCAGTTACTGTCTGTTGTAAGTTTTTCGATCGAATGCCTTTCTGAATCTATCAAATCTGTGAAGATTTTTCAATGGAATGGTAGATTCTCTTTGCGGTTTACTTTCTCACGTGTTTTTCTGGTTATTTGATAAGTTGGAGAAAGGTTTTGATGGAGCTTTTATGTGGTTGTGTGGGGGTTGTGATGGGACTAGGTGTTGTGTTGTGGTTGGTTGTGGTGTGTGCTCTTTGTTTAAGGTTGTGAGCATCTCTACGATTGGTATGTGGCTGTAATAGAGTTGCTTTCTGCATTTGATAGGAGTTGCTTTGTGCCTATGATGGGGGTTATTTTCTGGCTATGATGGGGGGTGGTATGAGGCTGTGATAGTGGGTGGTTTCTGCCTGATTGGTGGTTGTCTTGGAACTGGGTTGTAGGTTTATGGAGATTGTGATGGAGCTGTGTTTTGTGTTGTGGTTGAATGTGTTGTGTGCTCTGTGTTTAGAGTTGTGTGCTTCTTTATGGCTAGGGTTGTGGCTGTGATGGGGGGTGGTTTGTGGCTGTGTGGATAATTTATTGGTTAGTAGCATGTGGAGGCTTGTTGTGCTTGACTTGGGTTTGTGGGTTGGTAGTGGATGAGTGTGTGTGTGTGTGTGTGTTGGTGGCTCTAGAGGCTGTGTTAGTGGTTGTGGGCAATGAGATTGTTGATGGCTTTAAAGGATATGTTGGTGGCTATGGGTGTTGCCCTTGTTGGTGGCATGTGGATGTTGTGTTGATGGATGTAATGTGTGGTTTTTGGTGGCATGTTGAGACTTGTGTTGGACTAGCGTCTGTGAGTTAGTAGTGGATGTGAGTGTGTGTGTGTTGGTAGCTCTGGATGTTGTGTTGTGTGTGTGTCGGTAGCTCTGGAGGTTGTGTTGGTTGCGTGTGTTGAGCTTGTTGATTGTTGTGGAGGTTGTGTTGGTGGTTGTGAATGTGTGTGTGGGGGTGTGGGTTGGTGGATATTGGTGTGTGTTTGGTGGGGGATGGTGGTTGGGGGAGGTGTGGGTGCTTCTGGCTAGTGGTGCTGTCTCTTTTCTGTTTGACCTAAAAAATTTTATTTTTCATTCTCTTTATTAGTATCGTAATGGTAAAAACCAAAGAAGTCGCCTCATCAGCAATGTGGGATAAGGAAGTCACAATAATATTTTGCAACCTTTTAAAAACAAATTGAGCTTGAAAATAAACCTACCACCTACTTTAACAAATAAGGGTGACAAAATATTAGGAAAAAGTTCAATGAAATGGCAGGAATGGACTATGATTGGTTAAAATTTAAAAACAAGTGAAATCATATAAAAAATTACTAGAAATTATGGAAGGAACTAAAATCGGGATCCACAGACTTGGGTTGGAATCCAATCAAATGGACTATTGATACTTCTGAGTGGTGGACTGAGAAATTGGATGTAATGACCAAACCCCTCAAGACTTGTTTTTCCATTCTTTAACCCTCAAATTTGTTTTTAGCAAAAAAATTTCCGGTATGTTGACGCCCCCAAGTGAGCAAGGGTTTGCAAGCATACCAGAGGATTTGGAGACTGAGCAGGTAAGTGGGTCAGGTAAATGACCCAACCTAAACCAGGAGTTGGAGCCCACATGTCAGTTAAAGCGGCCAAAGGTGGAGAAAAGGAAAAAAAGAGCCGGTTTCATTAAAAACAAAGTAACAAAATTGATGGAAGCGTGCACAATTTAGGCTGGTACCTCATAGGACACCTCCATAGATGACTTTCTTCAAGTTCTGCAAATATATCTTGAAGTTATGTCTGA